AAAAAAAGATGAAAACAATGAAAGCGTTAATTTAATACGATAATTATAATGCCATACACATTGCATTTGAAAACTCGATTGAAAAATGGTCTTCGATCCAGTGTCTGAAGAACAGAGGAAACAATTTATTAGAGAGAGTTATGCCGCTCATTTGCCTGGGTAAGATTCTCTCGACGTCTGTGAAAATAATACTAATGTTATTTAAGCATTTTTCTTTTTTTTTTCTTTTTTTTTACTTCTTTCGCCCCTTTCAAGATGAAATCGAATTTCCATTTCTGGCAAACACATGCATCATTATCGAGTACGTTAACGCAATAAACACGCAATCATATATGATATAACAAATCTTTTCAAGATACAAATAAATGCATTTTTTGCACGGTCAATTTTGTGATCAATTGACTTGATTTTTCGAAAGAACTTTCGCATTATGTTTTGAAATAAAAAGATTATTGTTCGATAATCAGATGAAAGGAAGAGTTTAAAAAAAAAAATTAAACGTAACTTTAGCTTTTCAGAATAATTAAAGGTGTGTACGACACATATAACTAATGTAAGTCATAATCATAAGAAAAATATTTTAATGTTGATATCGCTGTTGTTACTATAAAAAAAACTTGAGATTTTACGGTTTAATGAACTCTGGACTGTTATGATGCTAAAATAATACTATAAGTAATAACATCATCTATTCGATTGCACGATAATTGTAACAATAAGTTGGAACATTAACGAGGAATTTAAAAAAAGAAAATACTATTCTAGAAATAATCAAGTAAGTAATCAAGTATTCAACAAATGAAATTGTATGCTTCAATGCTTCTTCTGTCAAATCATTTATTTATTACTTTCAATCGATCGACTCGAGTCAATTTACATTCACACACTTGTATTTATAAAGCTGTTAAATGAAATGATAAAAAAAATCGATTTATTGATAAAGAAGAAATAATTAGTTGATCGAAGATATTAAAGATACTTTAAAGAAGAGAAACACGATCACCGAAAACTAGCTTGGTTCGGATCGATTTAAATTTGATTTCGATGGAATACGTGCGCGTTGTTTGGTTGATAATCATATTAAGCTGAACTGTACACGATTAATTATAATTTCTTCCCCTTAAAATAAAGCTTAATTTATTTATTCACGTCGGCTTTTGCAATTGCTACATTCTATTCTGACTATATTATACCTTGTTCAATTATACTTTCAGGTTAATGAAGCCGCCAAGAAGATCGTGTAATTATTGTTTCCGATCCGATAAATTTATTTTGTCCTTCCAGCTATACCGGACACTGCCCAACCCTGAAGTTTTGCGTTGGCAAACGATTCGGAGCGTGCACTCAAGAAATTATGAAGGTAAAAGCTTGCGAATGAGTACATAAGAATTTGATTGAAAGAAAGGACGAAAATACGAATAAAATCCTTCCACGATGATAACGATATTGCATCACGCAGGAATTACTTCAAAAGAGAATCCTCAAGACAGGCCCTTACAGAGCCAATTTTGAGAAGGATGTACACGAGAATGCGGCTACTATTTACGAGAAGAATACTAACGCGCAAGAAGAAATGCATCTCTTCAAAACTCCACCGTACATTTTAGGATATACTGGTAAATAGATCGAGATACTAAACACTAGGTGAATGAAAATTTCGAACTGAAGGATCATACCATATTGGTTTATTCAAGAGTAAATTAATTAATATAGCTAATCGTTTGATTATAGGATATATCCCTGGGTTTAATAATAGATATGGTTTGTCGTTTATGAAAGCAGTAGAAGAAGGTGCCAGAGAATGGTGCGAAAATCAAATGAAACTAAAAGCTCGTAGAGATCTTACATGTTCTAAAATCGAAAAGAATGTTAGCTCTAGACAATTTTTACTCCGAACACGAACCCCGAACGACGCAGATATGCGTGTATCAGTCAATTATGATCACAATTGTAACAATAAAAATCGCACATTTCGTACGTAATACTTTCGTTATAAATTTTTCGTTGATTTCATAAATTCCCTTTGGAAACTTAAACTTTATGAAGCCTTTTATCATAAGTCTTCGATGAAGGATTTTATGAAGTATGAGGAAAATAGCAAAAAATTAGATGGAATATTCTGATCACCCTGATGAAATGAATTCTTTACGTTATAAAAACATTATTGTTACAGATTATGAAATTTCTCCTGAAAAACCACCAATCGTAGGCTATACTGGTCATATTCCAGGTGTGAAAGGAGAAGTTGCGCTTTCAAAAAGATATGCACAAGCTGCAAGAAAAGGATTAGAATTGGTACGAAAGGAACGTGAAGAGAGATTTGGCAAATTAAAAGACACTAGTACAGTAGAGAAAGTTTTAAATGTGGCTCATTTCAATGAAACTAATCTCGCCAAAACTTGAATTCACCTAACTTTTTATTACAATTTTATTTTAACAAAAAAAAAAAAA